TTTTTTGTAAGAATTTGTCCAGTTTATATCTTTATATCTTCTACTGAATAATTACTTTTTTTCCCTTTGGTACCTGGGATCAAACTTGGGACCTTGCACTTGCGAGGCAGGTGGTGGCACCACTGAGCTAAATCCCTGGCATGAGTAATTATTTTGAAGATAATGATATATACTGTAATAACTATTGTTAGTCTCTTATTATTTGGTTATGAAAATTTTTTATAAAATAAAAGCCCCAAAACTATTATTTAAAAAATCTAGTGCATTAGGAAATTGATTACCAAAAGAATAAGTGATATATCAAAAACAGTAGAATAGTACATAGACTTTATCCTTACATGTACCAGGGGAAAAAGCAGTATTTTTTTTCAACAGTTTATTCTCAACCTCTTTAGTTAATGACCCATGAATATCTGTAATTTTATATGTATGAAATTTTATCTCAATGGAATTTACTAATGAAGGTACCTCCTACAGAGCTAAAAACTGGGATCCGTTTTAACTTTTTACATAGACAGATAAAAATAGTAACAATAACAAAAAAGTCACTTCTTTGAATATTAAGGAAAATATACAATCTACAGTAATTTCCAAACTATTGGGGCACTAAGTTTACCTATTAATTTGTAAAAATATCAGATATAGAATATAGGACAGCAAAAACCAAAAGTTTTTTCAAGATTTTCTACTGCTGCCCAAACTTCTATGTACATCTAATGGTTAACCAAATTGTGTTACATTGCAAATCTATGTATGTTTTAAAACAAAAATAAAACACCAATATTTTAACTAAAAATGTAAGCAAGGGGAATTTTCTTACAGGCTAATTCCTCTGTATGGATCCAAATACTAAATCTGTAACTTATATTGGAAGTAGGTACCTTGAAATAGGTGGGGTTTTGGGGGGGGGGCGGTACTGGGGATCGAACTCAGGTCCTTGCGCTTGTGAGGAAGGCAGCTGAACCACTGAGCTAAATCCCCAGCCCCTTAGGTGATTTTTTTTACTGTTATGTTTTGCTATTTTAAAAAGATCTATCAAAAAATACCATATTTGGTGAACAGAAACTATTTAAAATTATTTTATTGTCCTTCATAACACAAAAAGAGTATGAAAAAGATTACTGAATATACTTAGCGCTATGAAAATATCAAGAAATGTTCCAAAATCTACGAAATATAAAGTGAAAACATTCTTGATAAAGTTTTTAAAAAACTTTACTTTGACTAGAGCTAAACCTTCCATTTTAAAGGACCTAGTACCTAAATGTACTAATTTGAAAAAATAAAAATAAAAAACAAAAAACTAAACTGCCATAAGCTGGTGTTCCACAGGCTACTAACGCTTACCTCAAGGGAACCTACTGCAGATAAAGTCCCGTCACTTGCACGGTCCTTTCAGCTGCCTGCCAGTTGTCTCTGTGGAAGGGAAAGCCTGATGAGTGAGAACCCTCTGCCACACTCCTTTGGAGGGTCAGGATGCCTGCACAGAACTACACAAAACTATCTACCTAGAGATCCCTAGGTGCTTTCAATAACAAGGGACTAAAAAGATGCCACCTTAGAACTTCCCTTTCCACTGAACACTGAAACCAAATGCCACAGAGAGTTACTGAGCATTAATGTCCTACTGGTATTATCAAGATGATATATCTACACTAACTCAAGTAGAAAAAGAGACTAAAATGGTTCAAAAAGATAAGCTAACACTGACAAGGAACACACACACACATAAACACACATACACATAAATATGAAAAATTAAGTGACAGAACTGTGTAAAAATGGAGAGAAAAGGCTATATCCACAAAAAATGAAGTTACAGCATCAACAAATGAATGCTAAAACACAAAGAAATTCCTGTTTACCCATTTTTAAAAAGATGCCGTTAAGTATACCATGCTTAAAATTAACTATACCAGGGATGCATATGCCTACTTATATAATATTATGCATTTTTTTGGTAGGGTCAGTATGTGGGTGGGTGGGGAAAGGATCTGGCAGATTTTTATCAATATGCAAAGTGAAAATCAGCAGTATGAATACATAAAATTCTAAAAAGAAGAAAAAACATGTGTTTGTATCTAAGAAAGTACAGAAATCCTTATTGGGATCAAATTAAGGAAAGAAGTAGAAAAGTATAATAGAAAACTGAAATGTAATGTATCTCAAAAAATCACCTTCATCTTATAGAATTATAAATGACTAATAACTGTCTTCTATTAAAAATATTTATGCATCACAATGTAGTATAATTTAGCTACAAAACCAAAGAAATTATATTTTCTAATACCAAACACAGTCTTACAATCTGAATATTGTACTTCATGAAGCAGAGCAAAATCTTTCTACAAGAAACTTTAAAATCATTAACTCTTAGCACCAATAATGATGAAGGACAGAGGGCCTCTAAATAAAAAGGTGATTCCAACATTTACTCTAATAACATATTTAAAATGAAATTACTTACCTCTGATTCTTTGTCACTTAAAGATCCCAAGCTTCCAAAACTGTGATTAGAGCTTTCATTATTTGTTGAGGCCTGTTAAAGATTTATTAAAAAGTAAGAATTAGGAGTAATTTAAAATAAACATTTTACAGGGGCTGGGGATTTAGCTCAGTGGTTCCACCGCCTGCCTTGCAAGTGCAAGGACCTGAGTTTGATCTCTGGTACCAAAAAATAAAAATTAAAAAACATCAAATAAAATAAACATTTTACAAAGTATAGTTGATCTTAAAAAATGAAAATAAAGTATGATCCTTTTTAAACAAGAAAGCCATGAAAGTAAAAATAAGAAATATCAAGTACTTAACATTGTAAATATACTGGAAAGCTTTATTGAGTCAACAAAGTTCTGCTCTGTTGCAGGAACTGAGTTGTATTACCTGATTTGAGGGTGGGGGGGTACCAGGCATTGAACTCAGGGCCTTTGCACTTAGCTACATACCCAGCGGTTCTTTAGTTTTTTTTCATTTTGATAGTCTTAAGTCACCAACTTGTAATCCTCCTGTCTCAGCCTTTTGCCTGACTTTAGCTGTTTTTTTAAAACCACTTCTAAAACAAAGTAATTGGGGAGCCACACCCCCAGCTGACTGGATGGAGCTGTGTACCCCTCAAAACCAGATGGAGCCAACCTGAGACAGCCGCACCACTGACTCCCACCCAACTCCATGCCTATGGATTCTGTGTCCTGGCCATGGCCACCTGAAAACTCCTAGCCAGCTCTGTGTTTTGATTCCCCTTACACAGGGCAGCAGAGACACCAACCAACCAATCTACCTGATCACGGACAAGGCCAACACCCAGGGACAGAAAAAGCAGAGATTCAGCAAGCTGCCTAATACAGTGAGATGATGCAGCACCCAGCCACGACCATCTGCCAACTCCAAGCTGGTTTTCTACATTTTGCTTCCCCTTGCTGTGGAACAGCAGATGCATGGTCTAATTGACAGGCCTGATCCCGGACAAAGCAAACGCCTGGGGAGAGAGAGTAGGTAAGCCCACAGGGCTAGCAGACCCAGGGAGAAAGTACTGTATGGACCTGGCTAGCAGCTTTGGGATTCCAGTATTACCCTCTCAAAGTGACTGGGACAGACATAGACTCTCTGAGAAGCTTAAACTCAGGTCAGGAAACACATGGGGCCTACTGTGCACAGTGAGAAACCAGGCATGGTAAATGTTGACATTAAGTCCAAGAGTCTTCTTGAACTCCTGCCCTGTAGCCTACACGCAGCAGAAACCAGAGGGCTCACTTTTTCCCCATCTATCAATGTGAGCATAGACAGGCCTCAGCCTGGACAGTTACCACAGTCGGGCGAGTGGACACAGGAGGTTCTGATGTAGACAGGTGTGTTACTTACTTTTCTCTCATTGCTGAGGGAGACACTTCAAGGTGCCGGAAGACAGCGAAAAGCAACATGGGACCTTAACAGTGTCTTTCTGCTCCTTTTATCTTATTCAGACTACCAGGATTAGGGTAGTGCCAAACCAATCACTCATGGATAGTGGATTAGTAATCACATGCCCGTAATGCCTAGCATCACATGCTCTAGATTCAACTACCTCCAAAATAGCCTATGACCATGGGCCAGGGATTATTTAGCTCAGCGGTTCTGGTGCCTGCCTCGCAAGCTCAAGGTCCCGAGTTCAATCCCTGGTACCAAAAAAAAAAAAAGCCTATGACCACATGAGGCTTTGAGGGGACATCTAGACACAAATCATAATAGGAGGGCACCTCACAAACCCACATGCCCTAATGTTAGAGAGAATTGTGACTTGCTAGATTCTTGCTTCAGATCCTGGAAAGAAAATGCTAATTCAAAAGCACGGGAATTTTTTATGACTCAATCTTTTTAAAATGTTTTTACTATTTTTCTCTTTCCTTCATCATTTTTTCTTTTTTGAGGGACTGGGGTTTTTTTCCCTCCCTTTTAATTCTTTTTTCTTTTCCCCTTTTAACATATTTTTCTTTTTCCTTCCTTTTTATGTTTCTTTTATTGGCTATATTTGCTGTTTTTCTTTTTTTTTTCTTTTTCCTTGTTTGTTCTTTTCAGTAAATGTTTCCTAATACTAACTTCCTTTTACTCCTTAATAGGATTCCTTATCTCACTTTTCTCTCCTCCTTCTCATCTCCCATTAACATGTTCACAATGGGGCCATTATTTGTATGCCTTGCTGCTGGGTGACTCTGACTTAATCAGTACATCTTGCTGCTGGGCAGCTCTGAATTAATTTTATTAGTAAAAAGACTAATAAAGAGTGATCAGATCTGTTTGTACCACCAGTGATTCAAGCCACCCAATGAGACCGTCATCTATTTACCACCAGTAGCTCAAGTTGGCTGGAACATGTTAATTTTTCAAATTTTACTTTTTTCACTTTCTGGTTCCCGAACCCTCTACCTTAACTAGTATAACTATTAAGCTTTATGAATCTTTACATAGCTAGCTAACTCTATGCTATTCATGTTGAATACTGTTCTACTGTTAGTAGAGGTAAAGTTGTTCATATGTACAATATTTGGTTTGTCTTAGTGTTTGTACTATAATTACAAACCTCTTTTCAATGGTTAGGATGATACATTGCTGGTTCATAGGCTATGTAAATATCCACTTTGTCTTTGACAATATTATTATTCTCAATTTTATTACTACAGCCACGGTGACATAGTTGTTAATATTAATGGGTTTTCTCTGGATGCCAATATCTAGATTGCCTTCATGTCATTAACTGTGGCCCATGTCCAGAGAACTGAATAATGAGTCAAATATGCTGCACCCTTCTCTCTCAAATAAATGGAGATGGCTGGATCTTGGGACAGCTAACCACACCCAAAATACACTGGTAAACAGCAGACATTAACTGAAAAGTCTCCATATCAGGAATAAACCTGTCTACTATAATCAGCCTGCAAGCCTCAGCACAAGAAACAAACAAAAATATACAGAAATATGAGAAAACACAACAAAATGCCTCCAAAAACTCCCAACTCTCATAAAGTTGATTCATGGGGCATTGAATTGGAGGAAATGAAAAGTCACTCAGCCAAATTATTTGAAATTATAACAGAGGAGACAACGTACCAGAACAATACTGCACTTGGCAAACTCGAAGATATAACTAAAAAAAATAATAAAATTATAAAATAATCAGCAAGTATACAAAGACAATAATAAAAAGCTAGCTGAGCTAAACAAAATTGTACATAACTTGAATGACTAGGATAAAAAAGAATTAGAGTCCATAAAAAGGTATCAAAGAAAACTTTAAAAGAGATTAAAAACTATCAGAAGTATGGGCAGCAGAAGTAACCAATGTGAGGACAGTGTCAGAACTAGAAGACAGGGCTGGTTTTGGTGACACTATACACCATAAAAACAACAAGAGAACATGTAAAATAGATCTGACATCTGCTAGATCTGACATGATACAAAGAGGACTAAGATTAACTAGAATTACTGAAAAATCAGAAGACTGCACAAAGTGCATTTAAAAATGTCTTTACTGAATACAAGACAAAAATGTAACGTACAGATAAGTGAGGCATATAGAACCCTACATATCCACAATTAGAAAAAGAGTCTCCCCATAACACATCATATTCAAAACACCAGAGTTCCAACATACAACAGAATCTTAAACGTTGTTACAGAAAAGCACTGACTCACTTTTAAAGGTAAACCCATTAGAATTACATGAGACTTCTCAACACAAACCTTAAAAACCAGGGGAGCTTGAAGTGAAGTGCTTCAAGCCCTAAAACAAAACAACTTTTGAGTTAGACTAGTATATCCTGAAAAACTGTCTTTCAAAATTGATGAAGAAATAAAATATTTACATAATGAACATTTAAAGAAATCCATGACCATGAAACCAGCACTCCAAAAAAATTTCAAGGATATTCTAGAAAGAGACAACGACACTAGCAATGACAAAAGGTCTAGTAGAATGAATATACCAGGTAGGGTGAGTGAGCAGTTAAGTAGCGGGAAAGAAAGGAAATTAGCAACAAGGAAATAATGCAATGACAGGGATAAGCCAATACCTATCAGTAACGACTCAATGAGAATGGTTTCAATCCCCCAACCAGAAGACACAGATTGGCAGGATGGATCAAGAAACAAAATCCAACAGTATGTTGTGTGTATAAGAAATACATTTAACCCCAAAAGAAATTCACTGACTAAAAATCAAAGGATGGGAAAGGATATTCCATGCAATGGGAACCTAAACAAAAAGAAGGTATAGCTATCCTATTTTCAAAGTAGATTTCAAGACAAAAAAGGCAAAAATTGGCAACTATAAACATATTGGTTAAGGGAACAATTCAACAAGAAGAGTTAACCGTTATTAATATATATGTACCAAACAGTAGCACACTCAACTTCATAAAACAAATAATGCTAGACATAAAAGATCGGGTAAACATAAACACAATTATAGCGGGGGACTTTAATACCCCACAGTCACAAACAGATCCACTAGACAAACAAACAAAAAAAACTAACAAAGAAATATCAGAGTTAAAAGCCTTCAAACAAATGGACTTAATAGATACGTACAGTGTTCCACCCAACAACAAAATACACATTCTTCTTAGCAGTATGTGGAACTTTCTCAGAGTAGATCACATACTAGTCAATAAAGCATGCTTAACTAAATGCAAGAGAACTGAAATTATACTGTATTTTCAGATAATAGCACAATAAAACTAGAAATCAGTGCCAAAAGAAAATACAGAAATTATGCAAACACATGGAAATTAAACAATATACTGTTGAATAATCAATGGGTTACAGAAGAAATAAGACAGTTCCTAGAACCAAATAATGCCAGTATCACATACCAGATCTTTTAGGAAACACTGAAAGCAGTCCTAAAAGCTAAGTTTACAGCTGTAATGCCTATATCCCCAAAACAGAGCAAGGCCAAACAACCTAATGATGCACCTCAAGATCCTAGGAAAAACAAGAATCCAAATCCAAAACTAGTGAAATCCAGAAGATTATTTGCAAGAACTTTGCAAACCTGAATGCCAATAA